AGCTTGCTTATACAGTCCCTTATCATAAGGACCATCCTTTTGCCATTGCCGAGCTTGGTTCTGATTATACTGCCTCTGTCTCTGTTCCTCTGTTTCTCTCCTTCTGAGTTGGATTCTTCCCCTAGATCCTGCACGCTCTTGATTCAGTATCGTCTGACTTGCTCGTGCTCGTCGTCCATCTCTTACCCTTCTCACCCTCTCTCTACCTCTCTCTCTCATCTCTCTCTAATTAAATGCATTCGTTGATATTTTTGTTTCTCTAATTCTAACCTAAAAAATTATTAAAAGCGCAAGCCAAAATAATATTTGAAAATGCAATCTAATTATTGAAATAAAAAACAATTGAAGTAACAATTGTTATTTTTCTTATTTTTCCTATTTCTCATCTTTCACAACATCATAAAAGTAGTATATGATGAATAAAAAGATAAGAAAATGAATGATATGAAATAAAATATTTAAGAAATTTTAATATAAAAATAAAAGTTATAATATATTTGGGTTGAGGGGAAAGAAGAGGAGGAGAAGGGATCATTCCATTTCCCTCCCTTTCCCTCCCCTTAGTTGTGTAAATAAATAAATTAAAAAAATAAATTTCTTTTTTCCTTTTCTTTTCCCTCTAATTTTTTTTTTATAATCAAATAAGAAATTTTTTTCCCTTTCCTTTCCTTTTCCTTTTCCCTCTCCTTCCCTTCTCTCCATTTTCTTTAATTTAAACATACAGATAAGTATTAAAAAAAAAATAGAGGATCAAAATAAATTTAATTAAAAAATAAAATATTAATATATTAATTTTTCAAAAGTTTGGGGGGACCTCTGCTCCTCTAGGACCCCCTAGCTCTCCGCCCATAGTCATGGCCACCAAAACTATATTAAAAAATATTGGTTTTGTTTGATTAGATTATTAAAAATAATTAACAATAAATAAAATAATTAATATTTATTATTTTATAAATTAAAATTAATTTATAAATTGATATTTTTAAATACTATAATTATATATTTAAAAAAATTCTGAATATCAATTAAATATAATATAATTTTAACAACTTTAACAAATGAATTGGTGGCCATAATTGCAGCTAGATGAAAATGTCTCTTATTTATTTCATGAAGAGTTAATTTAATTGATGATGTCTCTCTTGTTTCCCCCAAAAACACGAGAATAAGTAAATTTAGTACATCTTCTTTTTTCCTAATTATGCATTACATGGTACATTAGTGACTTTAAGGGTACTTTTAAGGGTACTAATTAAGATATATTTTGGTTTAATATATTATATAATATATTTATTAAAAAATTATTATTTTTTAATTTAAAATTAAAAACATATAAATTTAAAAATATAATTATATATACATGTAAGAATTGATTAAAATTGATTATATTTATATTACATTTTAATAATTATATCAAAATAAATGTTAAAATATATATTAAATTAAATATATACGAATATTTTTTTAACTCTAAAAATGAAAAGAGACCATTTTTTTCAAAAAAATAAAAAACCCTTTCCCATACCTTCCATCTTTAGGAACAACTTGGCAAAGAACACAGAAGCATGGTCCACCCCATTTTTTATCATCGTTCTTCTAAAACATTGAAATAACATAAAAATAGAAAAAGCTGAGACTAAGAAAGGAAAATGAGAAATCTAACGTTGTCTTGCCTTGTCTGGGAAACATATTAACATGGTACGGACGTCACGCACCAAACAGTGAATTGAAAAGTGGGGAATAAATTGGCATTTTGGCAATGCCTGGCACTTTCCTGCGTTAGATGCCAGGCAAAGGTCTGGCCCGTATATATATTAGATTTGGGGGACTTTTTTTTCGATTCGGGGTGCTGTCTGCGCTTTACGTTCTTTTAGCTTTTGCATGTCCGACCCATTTTGCATTTGGATGGACATGTTTATGTTCACATGAATAAATGCTAAAGTCACAAATAAATATTATAATTGTAATTAATTTATTTGATTTTATCACTTTATAATTAATTAAGGTATTTGAAACTTATTTATTAATTTTAAACTAGTACTAGTAATATATATAAGCTATTTCATTAGTTATAAATAAAAAGTTATAATTGTTAATTATTTTTAATAGTGAATTAAATGAATCATAATATTTTTGTGTGCCATAAGCACATAACACTTATTTGTGTAATTGTGATCACTACATTCAATTGGCTATGGTTATTGTCATTCTTAAATTTGTTAGGATCATTTAAACTCTCAAAAGTTTATCTTAATTTAAATATTAAAACTAATTAATAACTGAAAAAATAATTAATATTTATATTTAATACATTAAAATTAATTTACAAACTAACATTTTTAAATATTATAATTAATTATTTAAGAAAAAATTACAAACTCATAAAATTATAATTAAAATGTATGGCCTTCAAAAATCCTAGTTATGGTACACAAATAGATGTTAAAGTCACAAATAAATATTATAACTGTGTTTAATTTATTTAATTTTATCAATTCATAATTGATTAAGGTATTTAAAAATATCTTTATACATTAATTTCAAAAGGTCAATAGTCATAAACATCAATTATTATATTAATTATTAATTTTTAAGAGTTATTTCGTATAGCATTTTAAAATTGATAATTAATAGTTTTATTTAATCTAATAAAAAAAGTATTTGAATTAATAATAATAATAATAATAATTAACTATTAAATTAAATAAAACTATTAATTGTTAATTTTAAACTATTATACCAAACAACTTTTTAATAAAATTGCTCTTTAAATTTACTCATTAATAATATTTTGATAATTTTAATATTTAAATAAAAAATAATTTATACTTAAAAATATTTTTTATTTTATAATTTAATATAATTTAAATTACAAAACTGTACATACTCTTGAATTATTGTGGAACAGCACAAGACACAAAAGTTGGAAAAATGTATTGAAAATCATTGACTTCTTTTTAAATGAGAACTAGAGAAGGCCTAGAGATAGGATCATAAGTTGTAAAGATGATTAGTGAAGAATGAAAATTGAAAAGTGATAAATGAATATCATTACTTTTGTGCTATAATGGCGGGTATCGAATGGCTTGTTTTTAAAGAATAAGGTAGATTAGACAACTGAACTGGTAAAGACGTATGGAAATGGAAGAGTAACTTTTTCAAAAAGATAACATTACCTGATTATTTACTCCATCAAGCTCATTTTTTTGCGGGTTTAAATTTTTTATCCAATAAAAAAAATGTACGTTACTTAATAAAATTTTACATGTATTGTTAATTAATCATTATTTAAATAAATTTTTATTAAATATATATTCTAATTATATTTTAAAATAAATATAAAATAAAAATAAATACACAATGATATTTTTAAAAAATAACTAAATTTAAATATTTTAAATTTAAATTTATTAATATTGAATAAAGAGAAACTTTTGAACTTAATTTTTGCTAGAGAATAATTTGTTACTCATAGATAATACTTATTTTGTACGAGAGTAAAAGATCATGGGTGTTTCTAACTTATACTTTAAGGGCAATAGGTTTTTGTTATAAATTTGTATAAAAAATATAAATTAAAGTTACATTACCATTTGGATGAATATAATTTTACATTGGTTAACTTTTATTTTTTTCAACTCAATTTATGGTAAAAAGATATATTTATTACTTTCTTAATTTATACTCTAAAAACACATATTAGAAAAGTTCAAAGATGATTATATCAAGTGATATGATACGGGGTTGGATGTAAAAAGAAAATTATATACATGATGGGTCAACAAATAAAACTTTGGTGTTCAATTGATATGGTATATATATTTCTCAAATATGTCCTCCAATAAGTTTAATTAGCTGAACTTTTATGATTGGTTATTGGAGTTACTAACCGTCTTATAGGCTAGATTTAGGGGTGTTCAAGGTGTGATTTAGTTTAAATTTTAATAATTTTTATATCAAATTTAATTTAATCAATTAGTAAAAATTTTAAACTAATCAAATCCATTACTATATGATAATTAAATCAATTCAACTTAAATTGGACTAGTGTAGTTCAGTTGGATTGATCAATTTTAACACCATTAAATGTATGAGATAATGTAAAAAATTTTAACATTAAGTAGAAAACATAACTATAAAACACATTAACATTTAAATCAATAGAAATATAATTAAAAAAGACATAAATTATAAACAAGTTCTTATACTTCTTTACAATTATAAATATTGAAAAGATCTAGAAATTCTTCTTGGCTGAAATTCTTGGCTACATCACCAGAGACACCAAGGATAATAAAAGATGACTCTAAATTTTAAGTACGGTGCAAGTAACTTTTAACTATTAAAACTAAGTTTTTTTTCTTAATATACCAATGACTTAATCTCATCTTTTAAATCTTGTTAAAAGTAAATAAAATTTAAAATGAATATCACTAAAATTGATTAGAAACATTCATAATCAAGATTTAAAACTCTCAACCAAACATCCAAAAATGGTAGAATATCAAGATTAGTTTTATTATGAAGTTTTAAGACACTTGAAATGACACTTCTTTGTGGCTTAGCTAAGAGAATCATATTATCATCTTGGGAACAAATTAGAAATTTAGGGTTTTAAAAGCAGAGTCATAGACTAGTTTTGAAAGATAGAGTTGCAAGCAAATTTAAAATTTAGAATTAGGGGTAGAGTGCATGATTAAGAAAGAAAAATAAATTGGGGAATATAGAGGTGCTTTGTTTCTATTTTTCAATTAAATTAATACAGTTATTATCTTGTGAAACAAGAAAAAGAAAATTTAAACTAATATAAAAATGTATTATGTTATTTAATTAAGTTATCTTGTAATCAAACTTTATTTAGTAATCAGACGGTTTGAAGATATATAGAACCACAAATTAAACCAATCATATCAGTTTTAAAATTTTATAATTCAAACCAATATAATTTTATAGGATAAAACCTCATTTTGGTCCCTAAACTATTGTACGGACCCGTGATTTCGTCCCTAAACTTAAAAAATCCCTTATTTGGTCCCTGCTGTTTACCATTTTTACCATGATTTGGTCATTCCATTAATTTTTCACATTAATTGACAGCCAAATACTGAAGAAACATTACATGTCACACAAAAAATTGCCAAGTTAGCAAAAATAAATGATGTGGCCATTCCAACTCATCCCACCAAAAAAAATTTTTTTTTTTCCTTCCTCTCTTTCATCTACCCTTTCTTCAACTTCTGCAAACCCTCTGCAAACCCTAAGATCTCAACCAATTTGTAACATCTCAACCAATCTATTCATTTCAACCAATTTCTACTCTTATTGAATTCATCATCATCATCATCATCAAACAATAAAACTCACCAAAAAAACAGAATTTTATTTAAAAATTTTTTGCTTATGGATTCTTTTGAACCCACTAGGCATGCTGGGTTCAATTGAACCCAGCAGCACCCTTTCTTTCTCCTTCCACTTCCTTACCTTGCCTTCTTCATCAATCAATTCTTCATCATTATCAATCAACAAAACCAAGAAAAAAAAAGAAAAGAAAAAAAAACAGAACTCAAACCCAAAAATCCTGGGTTCGATGGAACCCAGGTCCGATGGAACCCAATGCATGGGTTCGAAGGAACCTGGGCCTGGGTTCCTTCGAACCTAATGCTTGGGTTAGAAGGAACTCGTGCTTGGGTTCCATCGAACCCAATGCTTGGGTTAGAAGGAAC